CCGCGCTCCCGGCAGGGTGCGAGAAGCGAGGCCAGGAAGGCCCGAGGTGCGAGGTGCGAGACCAGGCGTCTGAGCACCGTTCCACCGGTCCCCATCCCCACCAGCGTGGGCTGGGCGCCACTGGCCGATTTACCCCCTGATGGGGATATGGGCTGCTCTCTTCGGGTTTCGAAGGGCATATCCCCCACTGAGGTGGTGGGACGGTGGGGCTCGAGATGTGGATGGGGATGGGGATAGGGATCGGTTAAACGACACTGAGCGTCTCAATTCTTGTTCGAGCCGGGCGTTTTCGCCTTCTTTCGGGCCCTTGGACCCTCACGGGTCGATCTGGCTCGAGACGTGACGCAGAAAGATTTTTTTGTTTTGTTCCACCGCGCACGCTGGGACGCTTGTGAAAAATCTCGCTCACTGCTTCTGCGCTGCCTTTGGCTGCGCAGAGGCCCAACTGTCAACCAGCGGAGGGGAAAATGCTGCAGCCATCGCGTTGCGAGCGCAGCCAAAAAAGACAAATCTGAGGGCGGGGAAGATCAGCGCCTCGCTCCACTGACCGCCTGGCGAACCCAAGCCCTCCCCGATGCGAAATTCTCGGCCGCCTTCCAGGCAACACCCACTGGTGGCTACCAACTGCGGTGCTGCTCTGGCTGCTCGACCTCTTCTTTGCACTCGCGAAAGCGAGCCTGCAGCGGGCGCGCGCCCACGTTGTAGCGAACAAGCTGGGGACTGCCACGCCCGAGTGAACTCGGGGGCGCCGAGTGGGACATCGGAAGAAGGCAAACGCATTGAAACTTCCTCCCGAGGCGCGCAAGAAGCGGGGCACCGTAGCACGACGCCTATACAGAGGCCGCCAGGGCTGGATAGTGTTCAAGCCTCAGACGTGCTGGAGATTGGGCAGCGCCAGCGCGGAAACTGGACGGAATTGGTGAACTCAGTCGTTTTGGGCCTAGGGTGGCACTGGCTTCTGAAAAACGAACTCTACGGAACTCGCGGCTCTCATCAAGAACTGAAGCATCCTAACGGAGTTGCCCTTGACATCGTCGATTGCGATCAACATGTCGCCGCTCTCGACCATCTTGTCGGGGTTCGCCTTGTTCCACCTCTCAAAGTGACCATCCTTGACTCTCCTGACCATCAGGTGAGTCCTGTCTACGGAATGGCTGATGTCGAGGCCGAGCTTGTCGGACGGATCCTTCTCGAACTTGACCGTGAAGATGCTCGGAGATGGCTCGGCCGCAGAGCCTTCACCATCAGCGGCAAAGACTCCAGATGTCGCGACCTCCTTCGTCTCTGTGGACGGCGACTCAGCGCAATTGCCCATCGCGACTTCTTCCGATGACTTTCCCCAGCAGGGCCCGCTGGATCGATGACAAGTGCGCCGCCTACACAGTCTTGAGCCAAGCCTGAGCCAAATGGGGGCTTGAGCTAAAATGGCTACGGAAGACGTGACGCAGAAAGATGGGGTCTTGGCGTCTCAATTTTTGGTTCGAGCCGGCCGTGTTTGCGTTTGCTCGGGCCCGGGGACCCTCACAGGTCCATCTGGCTCGAGAAGTAGCGCAGAAAGATGGGGTCCTGGGCTCCAGGCGTGACTTGTTACGATGTTGCAATTGTTTCGTTACGAGGGAGGGTCGGGACGAAACCGGGTCGGGGTGCAGTAGGGATCATCTGAGATCTGGCGGGTCTGAGGGATGTGTGGTGCAGTAGGTATCCTCTGAGATCTGGCGGGTCTGAGGGATGTGTCGGGCGCCACGGCCGTTCCTGAGCGTCCAAGACGCTCTGGAGCGATCTGTCCCGTTCCTGGCTCTGTGGAGGTGTCCCCAGGACCCCCAGGGAGGCCCCCCGAGGGCACCGCTGGAAATCCCCGCGGCTTGCAGAACAGCCCCGCTACGGAAGGCCTGAGCGGGTGGGGTCGAAGGCCCGCGCGCCACGTCGCCGATGCACTGCCGATGCAGGCGGCGCCGTCGGAGCAAGCAGGCGGAGCCGGAGGATCGCGCCGCGTCACCGAGGCATCGCCGATGCGGCGGAGCCGTCGGCGCGGCGAAGATCGGGCTCCACGCGTCGAGCCCGACGCGTCGGCGATGCGCCGCGATCCTCCGACCCCAGCGGCTCGGGCCCCGCTCGAGAGACCCGAGACCAGCGCTGCGCGGAGGGGGGAGCCGCCGTGGCTCGTCGGCAGCACGCGATCGCGCGCGCGTTCGTTTCAAAAAAACCCGACGTCGTGCCCTGTGCCTGGCGTGGATCCGCAGAGGTCTCGCCTTAGATCGGGCATGTCCTCCCACGGGCAAATCTGAGAAGAAAAAAAGTAGTCCAAAGAATCAGAAGTAGTAGGAAAATCGTCCTCAGGCTACCATGAACTATGTCTTGAATATTCCTCCCGTCGAGGGACATCCCCGACGTAAGTCTCGACACTTTCCCCAGAACTGGCCTCTCCTCCCGAGCCGTTTCCTTTGGCGGTCCCCCGGAGGCCCAGCGAGGGCCCACCGCACGCCGAAAGATTGGGGGAAACAGCAAACAAAAACAAAAAACGGAACAGCTCCCGCCACGATTTTGATGACGGCGCGAGGGGCCCTGGGTCGGACTCTCGAGGCGTGCCCCTCTGCACCTGCTGCGCCTGAGCTCGCCGCGTGGGGTGGGAGCTGCGGCGGCTCCACCATCGAGGCGCACCCGAGCGTGTGCCCTCTGGACCGGTCGGCAACCTGGGACTGCGTGCGACGCCTTGATGAGTGCCCTGTCGCCGCGACTGAGCGGCGAGCAAACGAGCCGCCTTGGCAGCTCCGAGCAGCCAGGACAGGAAGGGATCCACGAGTCCCGCTCGCTAGCTTCACTTGGCACTGCAATCGATCAATCGTGCGCCCTCTGATCCAAACGAAGTGCGCCGTCATTCACCTTAGAGAATACGACAGGCTTCCCCGAGAGGCCCAGGTGGTGCCCAGAAACCACCTAGCTTAGCTGCCCCGATACGCAACACGCGACACTGAAGTATTGATACGGAGCTCAACACGTAGACTGAACACCTAGGTCTGACGCGAGACGTTCGCTAAAACGTAGGTCAGTACGCTGAGCCAACACGCAACGTATTGACACGGGCGTTTTAAGCACGGTACGCATTGCGCCTCAAGAAGGCCGTATCGAGGCAGCTAAGACACCTAGAGGAGAATGGTTTTTGTCCACCGAGCGCGCGAACGTTTCCACCTCTGCGAGCCAGTCTGGGCGCAGCGGCCATTCTGGGGCTGGTATCTGATCCGCTTCTGGGGCCAGCCACCTGCAATGCCAGCATGTCTGGCCAGCATATCATGGCCGCGTGCTCGAGGCAAATCTTGAAGGGCAGCGAAAGGGGAGGACCGACTCAAGGGGGAAGGGAGGAAAACATCGAGCTTGAATCGGCTATGGATCGGCGAGGTAGGTCGGCGATAGGCACCTGATAGCTAATCCGCCACTACCCTGGGCAGGGTGGGCTATCGGGCTTCCATCGGCGATGAATGGGCGATCGGGGGTCGATGCATCCCCCCCTGAGCCTATCCCACCCCTACGATTGCCCCTGACCGTGCTCGAGGCAAATCTTCGTTGCCCGAGACCGTCGTCATGCAGAAGGAGAGGAATAAGAAACGGCGTAAACTTCAGTCGGGCATGTTCCTCTACAGGAGGGATATTCAAAAATACTAAGAAAATAGTCTGGGGACGATGCTTTGACTATTTTCTAACATATTTGAATATTTCCCTATTTTATACTTTCGTACCAGATCCGCCGCCCGACCTAAGCGTAAACCTAAACTATCAGAGTTCCGCGCTGATCTCCTGGATCGGCGCTGGAACCCATCCGTGGCGGGGCCCGGCGCCGATCCAAAGAAACCGCCCAGAATTCCTAAATGTTATGGTTTTGCCGGGTGCCTCTTTTGTGGTTTTGATAACCACGAACTGGACGAACACGCGGCCTCGGCGGCGAGCTCAGGGTGATGTACGAGGGGGTAAACCTTCTCAGAAGGCGGTAGAGCTTCTCAGAAGCCCCCCCGCCTTCTGAGAAACCGTCTCTGTCTTCAGAGACGGCCCAGATAACTTCTCAAAGGCCAGAGGCTTTCCGAGCCTTCCGAGAAGACCCGCCCCCTCTGACTTTCCCCCTGCGCTCGCCGCTGAACTGGGCGAACATCCGTCCCGAGGACCGTGCAGCTACTGGAGCTCCCAGGAAGCTCCAGGGAGCCCCAGGAAGCATAAGCAAGCTCCCAGAAGCTCGCAGGAGACCCCGGGAGCTACATCACCAGGCGGCTTGCCTATTTGGTGATCGACGCCAGAGGAGGAGAAGGGGGGGGGGAGAAGAAGAAGGAGAGGGAGGAGGAGGAGGAGGAGGAGGAGGAGGAGGAGGAGGAGGAGGAGGGGGAAGAGGAGGAGGGGGAGGAGGACAAGCTGGGTGCGCTCGCGTCATATCTGACATCCTACCCCTCCCTTTTCCATCCCTTACCGTGGCGTAGATCCCCTCTCTACTCGCACAGTTGGATGTCGAGCAGGGCAATGATCCCGAAAGGATACGCGATGCATTGTAGAGCACGGCATGGCACTGCGTGAAAGAGCACCGCAAAGCGTAGTATGTCACAGCATGGCGTGGCGTGGCGTAGTGAAGAATTGAATCACAAAGCTTTGCAACACAAAGCATGGCATCGCACAGCGGCCCCGAACATAACATTGCATAGCACGGCCTTGAGGATCAAAGCGTAGCATGGCATAGCACGACGTGGCACTTAAGCACTGCATAGCACAGCTTCAGCTGAAGGCATGGCATCGCGCAGCGGAACGCAACCTAGCATTGCATTGCATGCCGTGGCATGGCACGGGAAATGACGCCAGCGCTGCAGCGGGAGCACGATTCCGAACGAGCGGAAGCGCGGAAATGAGGCCAACGCTGCAGCGGGAGCACGATTCGGAACGAGCGGAAGCACGGAAATGAGGCAAGCGCTGGAGCGGGAGCACGATTCGGAACGAGCGGGGCCCGAAAATGAGGCCGGCGCCTCAGCGAGAGCAGCATTTTGAAAAAAATGCAAGCGGAAACCCAACTCCAGGAAATCCTGCCTGCATGCAAAAAAAACAGTACGCGGGGGGGGGGGGGGCGAACACTCACAACCCGTCATCAGGGGAAGGAGGAGAGTAGTATTCATATTGAATAATTGTGGAGGAGGAGGAGGAGGATCCAGGATCGAGGATGCACGGGAGTCCGCGGTCGACGACCTCGCCGCGGCCCCGCAGGCGCCCACGCTAGGCGCGCGTCCGGCACCGTCCAGTGCCTGGGAGGGCGCGAGGTGTGCGATTGCAGGCTGCACCAACCCCCTCACTACCTCCCCAGGGCAGAATAAATCTGCGGGGGGAGGGACGCGAGTCGACCTCCCCCCGACCGTGAACTCGCCCAGGTCAACCTCGTACAGCTCGACGGCGTCCATATGCTGCTCGTCGCACCTTGGGCATCTTACCTCCAGTCGGAGACATGGTGCCGTCTGGCCAGCTCTGTCCAGCCTTTGGTGGCCGCCCCATTCGTAGTCGCTTCAGCACTGTCTTTCCGCTGGGCGTGACCCTGTCTCGCACTCGTCCACGAGTAGCGCCAGCCTCCCGCGTGCGTCGCTATTGCGAGAAGCCACCAGCGCACACCGCCAGCACCAGAACTGGCCGTGGGAGACCGCGATGTGGAGCCTCGGGTGGATCATGTCGTCATGAACTTATATCATCTCGTTGTTGGGGACGGGGACCGCGTGCCCATGATCTGCTCGATGGGTTGCGAAAATGTCTTCCAACGCATACTCTCGCCTTCTTCCAGTCCGTTACGCTGTACTTGCCTGGGGATTTCCATCATTCTCCGCAAACTCACTGGCCCTTCTTCTTGAGCATGCTGCGCCCCGTCTCTCGTTCTAACTGCAGTCGCCGCTGGCGGGTTGCATGTCTTGGCGCACGTGGAGGGCGCTCGTGCTTTATCGGGTCCACATCCTTGCAGATCTCGAAGTTGATGACTGCCGCTCGCCTGTGTACCTTCATGAGCAGTCTCTCCGTCTCCACCAGCTGCTGCATTTCTGATTTGATGTCGTAGCGTGCTTCTTCTGTTCCGCGTTGTGCTAGAGTGTCCGCGATTTCGTTGCCAATGCTGACCTCTGCCGACTGCTGCGTCTTGGCTACGGACTCGCTGTCGGGGTGGGAGTGGCACTTGATGAAATTGACTCCACCATCGTGTCCTGGTCGTCTCTGAAGAAATTGACCGACCCGTTACCACCACCCAATCAATGTCCCCAACGGCTTGCGGTAGAACCGCCGGTGCCACCCATTAGCCACTTGCCGGCAGTCCGCGTAGATCGCGACGGGACCTTTGGCGAGCAGAAGGGCCCAGAACAACGCCGCATGCTCCGCTGCAGGTGCTGACGGTTCGCCATCGAACGTGCCAAAGTAGCCCTGGTGCGTCGCGCCTTCAACTCGTCCAACGTTCGAGCTCTGATCGCCCAGCAAAACGGGCCGGGCGACAGCGCCTCGGACTGTGCCCCCGCCTTCTGTGGAAGGGGTGCCCTGGGCGCTGGCCACCTGCCCAGGCGACGTGAACCCAAGGCGCGAGCCTGCCAAGTTCCGCTCTTCAGGATCTGCCCTAGGTTGCTGTTCATCATCATAATATTATGGATGATCGTCTTCGAAGGTGGGTGCTCGGTCCTTCAGTAGCTTTCGAAAGTGGTCTTTGATCTCTCGGACGCTGGTCCACCAGTGTGCAATGTAATCTTCACGTACGCGACCATGGAGTTTTTGAAGATATTCGAAGACAGCTTGTCTTCGGTCCCTCGTAGTAGTCCATGAGCCGTCACACATTCCTTCGCCATCTGGTTGACGTCGGTGGCTTGCTATATTTCTGTTAGCTGTCGTAGGAGCTCTGCTTGTTCTGGTAGTTGTAGCCATGTCTCCATGCACGGTACACACCACAACTTCCAGTTGGTCTCGCAGATCTCCTGGTCACTGCTAAGGTCCACCGCCCAAGAAGCAGCCCAAACTCCCAAGTCGTGCATAATGTCGGGCCCTGGTTGGTTCGCAGGGTCTGGTCGTGGTAGATCTGCCTGATCCTTGCCGGCGAGGTCCTGCACTACGATGGCCTGGCACCAGAGCTTTTCACATCCTGCCCCTGTCGTTGGTCTCTCGGTCGAGTTGTGTAGCTCAAGTGCGATTCCCCATCCAACTCGAGTGACCCGCATGTCGTTGCTGGTGCGCGAGCCGTCGATGTAGGCGTATTTGCAGTAGTGGGGGGTATCGTGGCCATGGTACCAGGAACGACTATGGGTCCTCTGTTTTCGGTACTCCAATGGCCTCCATCCCACTCACCCCAGGTCGGGGGCTCTGGAACAGGATTGCGATGTCGGGGTAGAAGTCCTCGTAACCAAAAGGCCTCGCTGTCGGTGTCCTGCATCATCTCCTCCATCGCCTGCTTGCAGATGCCTTGCATGTTGGTGATGTCCTCCACGTTCTGTTGTTGTTCGTCTCGCACTAGTAGATCCTGTGCTTGAGCGTGTTGGGAGTTTTGCCACAACGCGTGCATATGCCGTCCGTGGCATAACCCGCTGCTCTGCATCTTTCTCCTGTCCAGCTAGTGCCACAGGCTACTGCTTCAAGCGTACCCGCTGCTTGCGCTCTATCTGCTTTATGGAAACGTTGTATAGATTTCCTGAGGCCCGTTTTGTCCATGCCGTGCTGCATGCCGTTGCCGTAGTAGTGGTCGTTGGCTTTCTGCCAGAGGTGTTGGTCCATGTCTTTGGCCAGGGTGCTCATGATGTCCTTGAAGTCAACAATCTGGCCGTCGGTGAATCTCCATACTTCGCCTCGATGATCTTGCCATTCATCAGGTTCACGTGCTTCCCGGTGGATCTGCTGTAGCGAGAGGATGAGGGCTCCCATGGGCCTTGAAATTGATTTCCACTTGCCCCCGGGCTTCATCTGCGTGAGCCTGCTAAGGTTCGCGTGCCATCCTTGGCGTAGACGGAGGAGGAGGAGAAGAAGGAGCAGGAGGAGGAGGAGGAGGAGGAGGAGGAGGAGGAGGAGGAGGAGGAGGAGGAGGAGGAGGAGGAGGAGGAGTAGGAGGAGGAGGAGGAGGAGGAGGAGGAGGAGGAGAGGAGGACGGAGGAGGAGGAGGAGGAGGAGGAGGAGGAGGCCCCCCCCCCTGGAGCCAGCCCTCTGCGGCCGAAGCGTGGCAGCGCGCCGCGGCCGCCCAGCGGCCTGAGGGGAGGCCTCCGCGGCCCCGAGCCCTGCAGGGGCCTGGCCCCCCGAGGGCGGCCACGGAGGCCGCCCTCGGAGGTCGGGCTTTCGGGCGCTGCCTGGTGGTGCCCCTGGCTCCTCCTCCTCCTCCTCCTCCTCCTCCTCCTCCTCCTCCTCCTCCTCCTCCGCCTCCTCCTCCGCCTCCTCCTCATCCTCCTCCTCCTCCTCCTCCAACATGGAACCGAGAAGGGGAAGCGACCGCCCCAGGTAGCTCGCCAACTTGGGGGGGGGGGGGGGCATCCTCGCCGGCCGCTGGTGAGAGGCACGGCCCCAGGCTGCGCACCCGGGCTGCAGCTGTGGAGGCCGCTCCCGAGGTGCGAAGCGAGGCCAGAAGGCCCGAGGTGCGAGGCGAAGCCAGGGTCGGGGACGAAACCGGGGTCGGGGTGCAGTGGGGATCCTCTGAGGTCTGGCGGGTCTGAGGGATGTGTCGGGCGCCACGGTCGTTCTGGAGCGTCCAGAACGCTCTGGAGCGATCAATCCCGTTCCTGGCTCTGCGTGGAGGTGTCCCCAGGACCCCCGGGGAGGCCTCCAGGGGAAAAAAAAAAAAAAAAAAAAGTACCCCTCACGAGGCGCAGAAGGCCCCAGGGGCTCCGAGAGGGCGCGAGGCACGCTGGGGGCACCTTCGGGCCATGGGGCACCGCTGGCAACCCCCGAGGCTTGCTGAACAGCCTGCTAGTGGAGGCCTGAGCGAGTGGGGTCCGAGCACGTGGGGTCGGAGGATCGCGCCGCACTGCCGATGCATCGCCGATGCATCGGCGCCGCATCGGTGCCGGCGGGATGGAGAAGAGCGGGCCCAAGATCGCGCCGCACCGCTGGTGCATCGGCGATGCGGGCGCGGCCCTCAAGCCCCACTTGTGAAAGGGCGCCGACGGCACACCCGCGCACCGAAAACAGGCCAGGCCTGGGGGTCAGTGCGCGTGCGCGCCTCGTGCCGAGGCCCGGGACGCGCATGCACCGATCCTACGCCCAGGATCGGTCCGGCCGTGGCTCGGAGCAAGGCCAGGTTGAGGCAGTGGCAGCTCGGGATCGGTCCCCAGACCCCTCCCAGAGTCAGCCCCACCAGTTTTCCAAGCTGCGTCCAGCGGTGGCGACGAAAGGGCCCCCCGACGGTTAAATGCCATTGTCTCAGCTCGCCCTCCTCTGAGTGATCGGCGCAAGCAAGCAGCTAACGCCCTCCCAACGTGGGAGGCCCGGAGCTGCAAAGCTCGCTTGCACTGCTCAGCGCCGGGCTGCCAGGCCGAGCGCCGCGGCGAGGGCGAACAGCGGTGCCGTCCGGAGCGCCGCGCGGGGTGCCGCGGGGCTCGTCGTGTCGTCGGCCGCGGTTGTGTCCGTCAGGCGGCGCTCGTCGGCCATGGTGGTGGACGCGTCCACTGCCGCCCCAGCCGCGCTGCCCACAAATAGGAACGCGAGGAGCGCCACGAGCGTGTTGCCGAGGGCGCCGCTACGAGCTGCGGCGCTCGTCGTGTCGTCGGCCGCGGTGGTGTCCGTCAGGCGGCGCTCGTCGGCCATGGTGGTGGACGCGTCCACTGCCGCTCCCGCTGAGTCGACCGCGCACAAGAGCGCGAGGAGCGCCAAGAGCACTCTGCCGAGGCCACTGGCGCGAGACGCGGCGCTCGTGGTGTCGTCGGCCACGGTGGTGTCCGAGAGGCGGCGCTCGTCGGCCATGGTCGTGGTCTGGTCGTCGGCGACGCAGCCATGGCCGGCAAGCAGGAATGCGAACGCCACGAGGACAGCGCGGTTCATCGCGGCGGGGGCG